TGATCATCGAGTTCCACTTAATTTTCTGGCCTGTTCCGCCCTGGTGTTGGCACTTGGCACCCAGCCAGAAACTTCCTCGTCGTTTTTGTTCAAGCTGTGATTGTTACCATGTTCACATTATATATTGGTATTCAATATTTGCACAGTGACTTTTGGCCCACCCTGTATATATCGGTATTCAACATTGGCGCTACTAAAGGAATCATCTACCACTTTTTAACTGTATTAATTATGTTAAATCTATTGAACAATGATCTTAGACACATGATTACATTAAGTTTGTAGCGACAAATTCTGAGTATTATTGAAGACGTGTTTTTCTGAAGACATGTTGTTCTGGGCCCCTCGTTCGTACGCTTTCTAAGTTTTTAGAAATACATAGAAAATAATTATATATTTCTTACTATACGTTTTCGGGATCAAAAACATTCCCAATATATTGGTGATAGGGTTCGATCAACTATAGACATCTGTCTAGACTCTAGTGTTTTCTGTAGGTTTCTTGACATAAATATTACTAATGCTACAATATCATTATTTTTAATACCCATATGTATTCAAAATAATTGCTCTATTTGAGCATACCCTTACCCAAACTTACCCTAGCTCAAAACATACTTTTACCATGTCGCAGATAACTTATGTATTTTACGTGCTCACTGTAATTGTATTGCTATATTGCTATAGCTCCACGTAGTGTACTACTGATGTGTAGCAGTTACTTAACAATCTGCTATACTTACTTAACAAGTTCCCTCATCAGTTGCTAAGACTTCAAGAAACCTAATAATCACACGTGTAAAAGTACAGCCTAGGAGAAAGTAAGAACCGTAATCCTACCTCAACATAGCAATTAAAAAGCAATTAAATAATTAAAAAGTAATTAAATATGTCCTTTAGGTAAGCGATCTATTCAATATTTATCAGGATTCAGGAAGACTATTAAAGTATTTACAATCATCTTTTTGACGTGTTGCTATGTAACGTGAGCACGGATTTGTCCTATTGAGATGTAGTTATATTATATTTCTAATGATTCATTTCTTGAGATTTTACTTATTCGTGGCAAGTTTAATTTGGTTTATTTATTGATGTCTGCTTGAGGGTGTTAGAATCATTAACACAAATTTACTCGGTATCTACATTAGAAAATAAGTGATCCTGGAGCCATGTTGCAAGGTTTCAAGTACTATATCTTATAATGTTTTACCGGGTCTTACTGTTTATGAAATCGTCAAGCTGGCCCCGAATCCTTCTATTGACCCCCGTGTTGCATTACAAAATTAATATCACGTGTCTGACTATACTGTCACGTGTCTGACTACACTGTCACGTGTCTGAGTGTACTGTCACGTGTCTGACTACACTGTCACGTGTCTGACCGACTGTACTGCCACGTGTCTGACTATACTGTCACGTGTCTGAATATACTGTCACGTGTCTGACTATACTGTCACTCTGTCACGTGTATGACTACACTGTCACGTGTCTGTCGTCTGACTATACTGTCACGTGTCTGACTATACTGTCACGTGTCTGACTTGTCACGTGTCTGAATATACTGTCACGTGTCTGAATATACTGTCACGTGTCTGACTATACTGTCACGTGTATGACTATACTGTCACGTGTTTGACTATACTGTCACGTGTATGACTATACTGTCACGTGTTTGACTATACTGTCACGTACTAATTTTACTACGTCACAGTGGATATACCAGCTAGAAGCTAATAACCTGATGCCATGGCTAATGATTTGTGTTTTCTAGGTGTCGCCTCCCTGCATTCTGCAAACAACGTGATACACATAATTAGATAATTGGCCTCTAATTACTCTAATTAGATGGGATAACTCTCAGATTACCCCATCTTTCTACGGAATTCAGCTAGTGGGGCTGATCCGTTCATATCCGAATAAAATTCGTTCCTTATCATTGATCATTGTTATTACTCTACCTTTCGAAGCAAGAAATTTGCAGTTTTATTATGTGCGTGAATATAAGTTAAATACAATATACATAATATTACGTAGTTCTAAGTATATCAATTTAAGAATTCAAGACTAAGATAATTTAAGAAAATTAATTTTGAACAAGTTTACGTTTCTGTAAAGTGTACACTGTACAGACAATTTCTCTTTTTAAGTTTTAAAAATGTTTAATAATCAGATTAAGTTGTAACGTTAGTTTGAGGTAAAGGAAAAATCCGCGGTGAATCGAGGTTTTGTTTGTTTACATAATGCATGTTAAGCCCTACTTGGGAAGAAGGAAATTACCGCAATAAATCGGAGTTTGCAGTTAATCAATGTTCGGTATTATTCGGTTTTACTGTATATAATATTGTATAACAATCTTTATTTTATTTTATTTTGGTTGGGAATGACTACACAGATATGATGGTATATTGAAATCTTCAATACATAAACAATAATAAATTATAACCTGCAGTTATTTTACTATATTAGTTTAATTAATCCAACAATCATATACTTGAGTTTCTAGTTTAATCTTATAAAACAGTATTATATGTTATATATAACATATTATTATTAATCCCTTCTTAAACTTGAAGTGATAAGACTAATGACAATACAGCTTTCCCGCTTCTTAGCCTTGCTATTTTGGGCGACAATCACAATGGTAAACGCAAAGTACACCCTTGTGTGTACACACTCATGATGGCAATGCTCCCTCGTCGAATCTCACCACGTATATAATATAATAGTAACGCGAATAATATTTTATATTATAACTTAAACTTCAAGTGGCAGCCGAGAATTGAACTGACCGTTTTTCTAGGTAAAACCTTTCATCTCAAAAACGATTCACTACAAAAGAATTTGTAATCATGTTAGCCATGGCTTTTCTCTTCATATCAGCCTTTCTAACGGATTATATCAAGTTTGAAGTTTGACATTTAATTCCTCCCGCAGCGCCATGGAGTGTATGTACCATCAATGAAATATACAGTTTAAAACAAGGAACTGAAACCGAGGGGTTCCGTTCAGGCCCTTCACACTTTGTTTCTGTCTAGTTCTAATGTACCGTCACACTGTACCGTCACAATAGTGACTTTAATATACAGTTTAAAGGGTTATCAGCCTTGCACAAAGAGTAACCGTCACGCTCCGGCCTCCGTTAGTATTCGATCTTTGATTATCAGACTAACAGTAAATAATGTTAAACATAGTAAATAATGTTAATCAAAGTAAGGCCTTACATGACGGATAGTACGAAACAGATCACCACTTATCTGCTATTATGGGTATCTAGGCGGCCGGGCGCTTACTAACATTAAGTATTTTCGCTATGTCTGCTTCAGACTTTGCCATAGTGTTTTTGTTTACTTTTACATTATTGCCCATTTAGTTTTTTCTCGAAAGATTTCGAGAATGTATGAATACCACAGACTAGAACTATTATCTGGCTTTATGTAGCTGTAGGTCAAGCCTCTGAAAAACGTTAGCTCCAAAAGAAGAAAATAAGGGCGCTGATATGATAAATCCTCTAGTTTAGCCGCTTGTTCCAAGTACAGTTATACCCTGATTTACTCCACCCTGCTTTACCGCGCCCCGATTTAACGCGGCCATCTCCTTTCCCCTAAATAGGGCTCAACATGCATAATCATGATAATGTAAACAAACAAAACCCCGATTTACCGCGGATGTTTCCTTTCCCCCAAACTACGCGGTAAGTCAAGGTGAAGTAGCTAGTCACGTGACCGTGTACGCGGTAATATGAAACTGTGTTAATATGACACTCGTACTCCTGTTCATACTCCGCTTCATTTTCTTATCTTGTTTGTTCCTTATCTTGGTTACTGCGGACTTGTAGTTTCAGTCATAGTTTCCTTTTGCTTTGTGGGAGTGGAGGGGATATGGGAATTAGGACTTCTTATTCTTTATTATGTTTTAATTGAAAATTGTTTTAATTAATTGCAAAGTATTGATTAGAATAACTTCAACAAATCTATCTACCGTATTCTTATCATTATTTTGCAAGTAATGTTAATTGTTACTTGTGCAGTAATGTTAATTGTTACTATCTCGTTATTATCTTAGCTGCTCAGTAGTCAAATTCTTCATTATTATAGTTAATGTGTATTGTTATAATGCGAGATTATTAGTTCACTTTCTACTACTTATAGTAATAAACTGCCCGCAATTAATCGTGTTTGACATTTTCTCATAACCAATATTCACATTGTACACAGATATTCTCATAAACATATCATGCGCACGAAACATATCAATTTCAAATTTTCTGCTAATTTACAAGATATATTTAATAAAGATTTAATAGTAAACACTAAACATGCATGCTTAAAAGTTTAATATTCTAAGCTGTTTGCCTTCGTGTCAACGAGCAAAAGAATCCATGGAGAGTAAAAATTGCAGGGTTAGTATAGCTTAAAAGTTTATTGAAGAATGTATGTAACTAGCCTTACTTTTGATAAGAATTATTAAGAAAGTGCTGCATACATTAATAAGATTAAATACGTAAATCAAGATGCTGTCGCTGATGAAATAACCAATTTTTGAAGAAATGTTCAGTCTAATTAAAATATTCAAATTGTCGCCATAGACGAATGAAAATTTATTTAGCGACAATAGTCGATAATGATTTGTCAATAATTTCTAATAGGTAAATTTTCTCATCAGTAATATTCTCCGCCGGATTTAACCTAAATGCGTTCTACATCATCACCGCTTTCTTTACTTTTTATGGGTAGAAGGCTGTCAAGGATAAAATTTTAATCGGAAATAAGAAAGGAACTGAATTATTTCCTTAAATCTTAGTTACTAGTTACTTAGATAAATATTTAACTTGATACCGTGTTCTACTTTTAATTTGTATACTTGACTCTATATGGATATATATAGATAATAATTAGTATTCTGAATTCTCGATGCCATGATAAACACATCCAATTCCTTTTTCTAACTAAATCATGGTCACTTCATGGTTAATTAATTAATTAACTAATTTCTTCACTCAGGTTGACACTAATACGGATGGAAGGCCCCATCTTAAGACGATATTCTTTAAAATGGGGGACGTGGAGGAGCAGGTGGAGTTTTGGAGTGATGCCAACTCAGAGGAAGTTAAAGGTGAGTTTAATTGGTCACTAATTGGTTAATTGGTGGTTAATTAATAGCTTTTTATAATTATATTTATTGATCTTTAATCGGAGTGCAATTTCTCAGTTGAGATTTCTTTTAAGGATTTGATGTGTACAACACCAGAATACGTACAAACTACGGATATTTACGATCAACAGTTCACACAATAAAATTGATAACGGCTACATTCCTACTTAGAGAGAAAGTTAAAGATAAAGTCACAGTGTTTTAACTGTTTTAACTTCAGGACATAGTTTTAACTTTAAGTTAAAAAACATGTCTGACACTGTAGTTAGAGATCAATTAGTTGTAGCGGAATACTGTGGACAGTAATGTAGCGGAATACTGTCGACAGTATTTAAATGTAGTGATAACAGCACTAATGAATGCAGAGCCGTGTAAATGTCTAAGATTGAAAGCATGTACACTGTACAGACAGTTATACTGATACCTACCCATGTAATCGCTTTATGTAACCCGGCAAACTACTTTAAGTATAAAGTTAGAGTGCAGACGCCCGCAGGATTTGAAAAGCCACTGCTACATCGTACCTAATTCTAGTTAAAGCAACATTCATTGTACCCGAAATACGTCTCCTCTCTACACTACACGATGGAAAAGATGTAAAGCATTGCCTTGTAGAGTTATGTAAACTTTTAAAATAGATACAGTTTGTGACCTTTTAAAGTGGAGAGATTCTAACTTTTAAACTATTCTTAAGTATTATTAACCCATAGAAAATAAAAATGTAACATACTGCTACATACTATGCAATACACACGTAATGCTTTCAGTTCTAGAAGGTTCCGTTGCAGTTACTATGTTGGTTTTAAAATATCTCGTGGGACAGCCCTGTGACCCTGTCCCTAAAAAATAAAAATAATTTTATGCAGACTATCAATTCTCTAGTTCGCTTCAATCCGCTGAGTTAAAAATACAGTAAACGTTCGAATAACCAACAATGATTAGATTATTATGCCATAATCTTACCAGTCATCAATACATCCTATTTATGGTTCACCTCCTCCAACATCACATGTTGGTTCACCTCAGCGTGTTTTTGTAAGGTTCAGCAGTATTCAAGATATCACGTTACAGTAACAGGTTGCCTTGTTTAAGTTATAATAATAATTTGGTGGTTAGTAAACCGGGTTAGTGACGGAGGGAACGTTTCGTGTCTTCTTCCTGGCTTTAACGAAACGATAAATAAAAGGGAACAACTGAACCCAATTTAGACAATTTAGACTAACCCTAACTCCCCTAACCCTAACCCTAACTAATTAAGCTGATCGGTTAGTGGGAACTAGGTTTAATTGGGTTCAGTTGTCGGGCACCCAATAAAAGGCTTGCCAAGTCAAGGGTGACTTCACAGCAATACGATCGCTGGGGGACTGTTGACGCTTCATCCGATAAAATAATCATGATAATATAATCGACTTTTTAGCCCAGCCGACATCACTAAACTTTGATCGAGTAGAGGAGATATATCCCTCAAGTAGCTCAACCTCTAACCCTGAACCACCATCTTCAAAATGTAAACTGTGACCTGTAGTGTGAAGTTATTGAAGTTATCATAGTAAGGTTCCATTTTAGAGAATAACTAGCACGTGCGCGCGTCTTCAAAATGATCACGTGACATGAAAAACATAACCATTTCCATTTCAGAGTGTTTCCGGAGCGCAACAGAGTCAGGACCCTCTGATATACTGAAACTTTACAACACCAGCAACTCCCTCATGAACATATCCCCCCGGATCCTCGCTAATAACCCTGATACTAGGTTTACACTGAAGGTGGTGGGGGCCAAGCAGTGTCTTAGTAGTGATGGTACGTGCCTGTTTTAGTTCTGTTTTATAAATGTTTTATATGAGTTTTCTTAACGTTTTATAATTGTTTGTCCGGAGCTGTAGTGCGAGATATTTGTTTTTTCCAGTGTGCTGTAATATGTTTGTTCGTTTGTTTGTTTGTTCGTTTGTCAGGATGTCAGTTTAATAATTCGTGTTTGTTTGTCAGTGTATTTGGTTTCTAATATCATTAACAATACTATTTCGATATGAATATAAAATCTGCAACACAATAAATACCATATAATGTAAATCTTACTGTGGATCCTTGGTTGCGGCAGCATTTTATTTTTGATACTATCATGCTAATATAGTGCTCTATATTTATGATTGTGCGTTGTTAGATTGTATTGGAGTTGCAATCTACTTATTCTACAATTCTACCAACCCAACCTGACGGCCAATACTCGGGCGATTCTGAAGGAAAAGATAGAGTAGTGTTTATCATCATGTCCTTATATGGTAGTCACGTGTTCTCACCTGTTATTATCATTATGATGTTTGGTTATTAATAAGAAAGGTCTAAACACCGCTCCTACATGGTCTAAAAGTAGAATTAATGATTTTTGGTGTGTACCGATTACCAAAAGAAAAGCTTTTTATTGAGTCATTCGTTCGGTATTGTTCATCTTAATTCGACGACAAAGTAGTATCTCTCAAAAAAGTATCTCTTCGTCATTGTTCCCACATCCAGTAACTTCTGAAAATTTTCCAGATTTTCCTCTCATATCAGTCCAATGTCTCCACCTTTATACAAATTTGTTATGCCCTAAAAATGTCCTCTTTGGCACCAAAAATTTCCTTCCAGTCTGACTAATGTGTTTTTGGATGTGGGGCGTGGGCCAATATTATGATCTTACAAAAAAGAACATACCAGCTTTGTCTGAACATACGTAGACTTCTTAAAACATGATAATATTATGAAAATTAGTTATAACACAATAATTTTTTCCGGTTTCTGTATGAAAAAATGTGTAATGTGATACGTGCGCTGATACAATATAGAGTGTAATATATAGTGCGCAACTGTTATTTGTTTTGAAACTTCCCGCTAGCTAGTCTGAGGTGACTTGCAGTCTGTCCTGAAATTATCGGTTACCAGTGTTCACGACTTTTCGGGAATATGATTCCCGGAAATAATTATACTGTATATTGAGTACCAACCCTTCAATTAGTCGACCAAACAAAGAAAATAACCCTTTTATGTAAAATAAAACGCCATCTGTTTAGCGCACGTTTCCATACACCCAGTACAGTCCACTTCTCCCTAAGTTTGTAGGAGGTTGCTTTTTGTGTTATAAATTATTAACAGTGAAATACAATTGCACATTATGAAGGTAAAAAGGAGCTTATAGTTATTAGAATATTGTAATAATATTTTTTGTTTGCACCTCGCTCGTCCCTAGTCTCCAAGTCTCAGGCCAGAGGATAATTAATTCCGGGTAAAAATATAACACTACACAGTTACTGCTTCTACCGTTATGAGTCATTAATTATAGGTAGTGCGTTTTATTGAAATATAGATAATTATAATAATTAGAAGCACCTGTGTCTTTATCCTCTAAACCTGACACCAATTAAGCCACCCTCAAACTCTTCAGTATAACCTCACTCTCAGTCCTCGGATGAGACTTATCACAAGAGGTTAACTGTGTCTATTTCTCTGTGCAAAAGATAAGAGACAGTGTAGATTTCAAAAGATAAGAGACAGTGTAGATTACACTATCTCTTATTTTTCTCTGCCATTTCATCAGCATTTTATCAAAGTATTTTAATGTTGAATAGAAAGCTGCAGTCTATGAGAGGATTTACATATTATATTAAGAATATAGTTCAGGTGAATATTTGAACGTGTACAGTGTACACTGAGCCCACTATCTAGATAAATATAGGTTCATATGAATAAGTTAATTAATGCAGTCAACATAGAAGAAAAGTTTAAATTTTAATACTGAACTTGGGTTAAAAATTTCTGGATTTCGGCCAAGGACTTCGGCCATCATCAAGAGTATTTAGCATATATTTAGCATATATTTACCATATGTTTACCATATGTTTACCATAAATTTAGCATAACTTTAGCATAAATTTAGCATAACTTTAGCATAAATTTAGCATAATTTGTCCCGATAATAACAGTGCTATTAGCATGCAATGGCTGTATAATAACCATACATCAACCTGCCACCTAGTTTACTGATGACCACAACTGGTTACTACCAGTACTAGTCAAATAGCCATTACTAACAGCCCAAGGTATGTTGCAGCATGGCACCACACTCCGCATCTCTACTGTAAATGACGTTTAGTGTTAAAAGCACAGTATACTCAAGAAATATTGTGTATGCTTGCCAATGACGGGATGGAGGCAGCGTAAGATAAAGGGTTATCACTTATCGGTCATCTTATGAAAACTATTATGTTTTAGAAAGCTTCTAGTACACGGAGCTGATAATATAAAATATATAAAAATATATAAAAATATATAAAATATAGTATTAAAAGTAATAATGATTATCATCATGCATTTTCCTATCACGCTAACCGCAGCTAACCGGAGAGATTATGATTTCTGATCAGATATTAAGTATCATTATGTTTCGTGCAATATTCTCCGGATACACTACTAGAGATAGGCTAAGAGATAAGCTAAGAGATAAGCTAAGAGATAAGCTAAGAGATAAGCTAAGAGATAAGCTAAGAGATAAGCTAAGAGATAAGCTAAGAGATAAGCTAGGTAAAACACCTTATCAGGGCCACATTGTAACTACCTAAATACAATTTTAACTATCTAAATACAAACATTGTAAAGCCCCTCAGTTAGAGTTAGTTAGTTTTAGGAGAATACATCTCAGTTGGATTAGTATATCTTGTACAGTGAAAAGGAATTTAGTTAACGTTGTTGTACAGATTTTATATATCTGAGTTTAAAAAAACATTGTAGTGGTAAGTGTAGAGCATCATGGCTTTCGACAGACAAAGTAATCTTAGTAAAAGGCAACTGAGTGCTGAAACGTCGATTTGTCTTATTTCACTTTATGTGTTGAAAGCCGAGACGGTCCATACTAATCACTACAATATATTTTTACCCATAATATAATGGAACTGGGAACAGTTCCATAACTTTGCAATGTGTTATTTGTCTGACTATTTCACTATTTCACTATTTCACTAATCTAACGTGAGAGTCTCATTGTTAATGTACCTAAAGGTAAACAATTAAACAATTGTTTATTTGTGCAGCTAATATGTCCAGGAGTCCAGGAGATCATCATTTAATGATACCACAATAGCACAATGAGGACATGTATTTGATTTTACCCAGGTTAGTTATTATTCGTGAACCACTCTGCTGAAATGTACAGCAAATGTAGGTACAATGCCGACCGGCCATTGTACCTATTTGCTGAAAAGTACTAATGTGGAGTACAGATCATAGTATAGTGGTCATAATTATATAGTGGTCATAGTATAGTTGTCACAATACTACAATAGCATAGACTATTCAGTATTAGTGTGGTTAGTTCCGTGGAAAATAGGATTATGTGAAACTGTTTAAATCACTGAAAGGCAAGTCGACTCCACTGATCTAATGTATGAATAATTGCAGGACAAGCGACTGGAATTATATCTGTGGTCTGCTCATATCAAACTGACAACTTTCTCTGGGCATACGTATTATATGAACATTTTTGGACTCCAGTGATCTACCATAATTCAACCTTCAAAATCCAACTTTTGACAAGAAATAGAAAAGTTGATAATATGTTATTAGGCATTAGCAGTATCAACTCCTACATACCTGATAAAACTTTCAGAGTGATGATTTGAACGACAGGAAAGGAATCTTTTCTTAATATAAATCTTGAAGAATCAGTCGCTAAGCGTAGTTGATGACAAGTCATATATGACTTTTTTACAGTAAATCATACCTTTTCAATACAGACTGGAGCCGATTTCCTTTGATTACTTAATTTTAGTTCGTCACGATATTTACCACACAAGAGCTAGCTTTGACCGGTAACCGCTTTGGCCTTTGAAATGGTCTAGAGAAATAACAAGGAATGTCAAAATCAACAAATTTCCTCAGTCGGCCTATCATTTGTATATTTCTCCGTGGGATAATGGTCAAGGTTGCAACTTTTAACAATGACCATCGGTAGTTATCTAAAGTTGCAACTTTGATTTATAGACTGCTGAGATGTCTGAGAATGTAAACTATATCTTTTTAGATTTAACATCACGCTTGGATTAATAGCTGAAATAAAGAAATGAATATCTCGTCAAATTGTCATATCCCCCCTCCCCTATATTATAGCACGTTCCTTTTGTCACGGTGAGACGAGTTAAGAAACTAAAAATAACTAATTTAAAGGAATTTACACATAGCACCTAGTGGTGGCTGTATAGTCGGAGCATTAAGGTATTCTCAGGAATCTAAAATCTACACAATTAGCGGATCTAATCAGGAGAATTAGAAGTTAAGTAATCAGGAGAATGGATACAAATCATCACTCCGCTTATCTGGGTAAGTTAACCAATAACCAATTGTTGTTATTAGGTTTCACTGTGTACAGCTAACTTGGCTCATTTCTCGCTCACTAAATTAACGCTAAGTTCAGAGTGAGTGTGATTAATCCAGCTGAGTACACTGTTTAAACTAAAGTTTAGTATACGGAATCATTTGTATCCTAATGTGTTTCGTGTTAGGTTTAGTAGCTAAGTGGTAGAGTGGTTATGTTGAATCTGCTCATGTACACCCTGATATCGTTGATAATGATCAGATCTCGTACTTGGTAGTCACTAGTTGCTTTGTTTAAAGTAGTGGTAAAGTGAGAGCAGAACTCGCTCTCTTAGACACGGATCAAGACTCAAGCCTTCCAAGTGGATAATTAGGTTGTTATTAATTACCAATTAGAAAGGATTCAGAAGATTGTCTGGAGACACGGCCTCCAGACAAGTTTGTTGGTCACCACTGTATTC